GCCACCAGGTCCCTGCTCAGCTCTTCCCACCCCTCCCTCTTCACTTCTCTGCCTCCGCTCCAGCATCATCCTGCCCCTGTACCACGTTTGCAAAGAAACATTACCACATTTGTAAGAAATCAGAGTTACTTTCTGGGAGAAAATGGAATTCCTCGTTTGCAATTTCCTTCCAAATTTAGAAATATATTTCTAAAAAGAAAGATTACATGGGTAATCCTTTTAAAAATATATTTCTTGCAGACGTAAAGAGATATCACACAATGTAGACTTTTCTCTCTTGACTTTACACAGTCCCCATGAAACAAGTTATCTGGTTGTGGAAGGGTGCCATCTTTTTAAAACCAATTTGAGTTCTGCTTGAAATAGTTGACGATAAGGGGGAATTTCTTAGAAGGGTTAGATATGTGAGAGAAGAGTCCTATAGATGCATCGCATAGGTGGGAAATTGCATGGCAAGGTAGGTAGTAAAGGAACCAGAATAACATCTGGGCCCCAAATTCCAGAATGCTCTCTCGAGTGCCTCCTATCAGGTTGTCAGGTTCTATGCCAGGTGCAGGGGTACAGCAGTGAGCAAGCCAGTACCATCCCTGCCCTTATGGAGCTCATGGGCTCGAGGGAGAAAGGGAACTTAGCAAGCTCAGTGGAGTGAAGAGAGAGGGCACCACAGAAGGATAGAGTTCAGGGAACAAGGGGAAAATTTGCTTTTGAGACCACAATTCTTTAATACAATTTTAATGCAATTGCCTTGAGAGGTGAAAAGTGTGTGTGCCTCTTGATGTTCCCCTGACACTTCAACAGACCTCTGCAAAGATGGAAAAACAGCAGAGCCATTTGCACATGTATCTGTGCTCCCTCCTGTGCTGTGTCCACAAACGTGGTAGTTACTTCCTGGAGAACGTCTTTACCCACCTCCTTCATCACCTGGCTTCCTACCTCCCTACCCCATACCCCACTGGGCCCTTGAGGGTGCAAAGAGCAGTATGTAAGGGGAAGGGCTGTTAGGGTTCTCTGACCAAACTAGACCTTTCCTGAATGGCTTCACTGTGACAGGGCTGCCTCAGGACCCAGGGCTGATTCCGCAAAAGTGGCAGCCCACTTGAGGATGTTGTAAAGCTTGGCCAAGTCATGGAGAAATCTGAGTACTGGGAAAGGAAAATGTGATAATATGTAGACAATAGAATACTACTCTGCCACAGATAAGAATGAAACATGTTTTGTAGAAATATGGATGAACTTAAAGAAAATACCATCTTTTTAGAACCAATTTGAGTTCTGCTTGAAATAGTTGACAATAAGGGGGAATTTCTTTGAAGGGTTAGAGATGTGAGAGAAGAGTCCTACAGATGCATCACATAGGTGGGAAATTGCATGGCAAGGTAGATAGTAAAGGAACCAGAATAACATCTGGGCCCCAAATTCCAGAATGCTCTCTCGAGTGCCTCCTATCAGGTTGTCAGGTTCTATGCCAGGTGCAGGGGTACAGCAGTGAGCAAGCCAGTACCATCCCTGCCCTTATGGAGCTCATGGGCTCGAGGGAGAAAGGGAACTTAGCAAGCTCAGTGGAGTGAAGAGAGAGGGCACCACAGAAGGATAGAGTTCAGGGAACAAGGGGAAAGTTTGCTTTTGAGACCACAATTCTTTAATACAATTTTAATGCAATTGCCTTGAGAGGTGAAAAGTGTGTGTGCCTCTTGATGTTCCCCTGACACTTCAACATACCTCTGCAAAGATGGAAAAACAGCAGAGCCATTTGCACATGTATCTGTGCTCCCTCCTGTGCTGTGTCCACAAACGTGGTAGTTACTTCCTGGAGAACGTCTTTACCCACCTCCTTCATCACCTGGCTTCCTACCTCCCTACCCCATACCCCACTGGACCCTTGAGGGTGTAAAGAGCAGTATGTAAGGGGAAGGGCTGTTAGGGTTCTCTGACCAAACTAGACCTTTCCTGAATGGCTTCACTGTGACAGGGCTGCCTCAGGACCCAGGGCTGATTCCGCAAAAGTGGCAGCCCACTTGAGGATGTTGTAAAGCTTGGCCAAGTCATGGAGAAATCTGAGCCTCTTTGACCAGTGTGAGGCACAATCTGTGTCACTGAAGGGGTCTGTCAATTTCCAGCTCACCCAAGGCTGATCCGAGGCACCTATTTTATCGTGGTGGAATAGGGGAGCTCTTCCCACTCTGCTGTAAAAGTTTGCTCTGGATGAGATGTGGAGGGGCTTTCAGTGACACGAATGGGAAAATGTCTGCACAGATAACCAGAGGAGAAAATTTCACTGAATTGGATTAAATCCACCATCTCACTTTGACTATACAGCAGCCTATGCATCCATCTCTGTAACAGTTGTGGTGCTAGTTTGCTCACAAATCAGGAGAGGGAATGAATGTCTCCTACAATTTAGAGTAGGGGACAAAAGCTCAAAGACTTCAGAGACCAGGCAGATAAGATTAATATTTGAAGCAGACTGGGTGTGGTCTACGTGGAACGCTAGTATGCATGCCCTCTGGAAAGGGGTAATCGCCCACTCAGCTTCAGCCTTCTGTTGCCATGTGGGAATGTGGGTCCAGTGTTAGCAAGTTTTTGGATTTTTTTCTGGAAATTCAGGCTTTTCTATGAAATCCCCCAGGTTTTAAGATAATTGGCTTTATATCTGAATTTTTATAAAACACTCTTGGACCAAACATAACATATGTGGCTCTAGTTGCTGGTATTAGAATTATAAACATACCTTTTTTTCAACCAAAAGCAAACTGTTCTATGAAAAAAAAAACTTTAATGCCCATCATATATGGAAACATTACCTTTTTTGTCCTTTTTGTCTGTTCTCACAGGTGATAGAGACATAAGGATTGATNAACATTACCTTTTTTGTCCTTTTTGTCTGTTCTCACAGGTGATAGAGACATAAGGATTGATGATATGCACAAATTAAAAGTGGTGGAAAACTTCATTTACGAAAGCATGCGGTACCAACCTGTAGTGGACGTGATCATGCGCAAAGCCCTACAAGATGATGTAATTGACGGCTACCCGGTGAAAAAGGGGACTAACATTATCCTGAATATTGGAAGAATGCATAGACTCGAGTTTTTTCCCAAGCCCAATGAATTTACTCTTGAAAACTTTGCAAAGAATGTAAGAGCCCTTCCTTAAAATCGAGTGTGCCACTCTTGAAAATGTCAATTGTTAAATCCACACTAGTTCAGTGTGTTTGCACAATGTACATTTCATTCTTTTTACTTGTTCCCCTCCACTGCCTCATCAGGAGCACACATGTCCCCTACCTTGGAACATGGCTACCATATTCGTCCTCAAGCCGAGGATGCTGGGTGTCCAGCTCTGGGAAGTATCTACATGGTGGCCACATGATAGGTTAAAATGTGAAAAAATCCAGCCCCTTAATTTGGCTAAAATGAGCCCAATCTTGTTTAATCCAATTGGCCTACTTTTCCATTTAAACTTAGCACTTTGTCACGTAGATTCAGCAGTAGCACCATCTATGCAAAGGAAAGTCTACTTCTGCTTCACATGGAAATCAAACGATTTGGTTTTTGCAATTTGCCTTTGGTTCATCAAATAGCCACATGAGCAGTAGGTCCCTTTCTAAACAGGACATAATAATTAGAAGAGATTAAGCTTTTTCTTTTTCTATAATTGATGTATATTAACGATTCTGCCTCCATTATGTCAAATTTTAGGCAACAATGTTTTTAAACCCATATAATCCAGGTAGTTTCCTCAATATCCTCTTTTTCCATTTGCATATGGTGTAAAAACATGATGGCTAATTAATCCAGTACTCTAATTCATCTAGTTTCTGCAAAGACAATCCAGATAATGCCATGTAAATCAGGCAATTGGTCAACAAAAATTTACTGAACATCTAGTATGTGCCAGGCACTATGTAAGTCCAGATGTGGACAAGACAAACAGATGTGGTTCTCATTAATTTTCTGCACAACTAAAATGAGTTAGGTGTTTAGTTAAGAATTTATATCTTTGCCTGTATTTGTCCCTTTTCATCAGTTTATGTGGCATCACACCAAAACAATCTTTGCCTTGGTGGTTTACAAAACACTAATAAAGCTGTGGCTATTCCACAGAGCTAGTTGAGTATACTAAGATGATTGTAATAAGATGATTTATGTGGCATCACACCAAAACAATCTTTGCCTTGGTGGTTTACAAAACACTAATAAAGCTATGGCTATTCCACAGAGCTAGTTGAGTATACTAAGATGATTGTAATAAGATGATTTGCATTGCTTCACACCAGCACATTTACATGAAAAGCAAAACTGGGGACTGTATGAGATTGTGTATGTATGAGTAGGGGTGAGTCAAACTGGATGGAGAAAAGGGCTTATTTGAGTTACATCAAATAAGTTCATCTCAGTGAAGGAGCTACTGAGTATGGCTGAGACCCCAGAGCGGAGTGTTCTGACTGACCAGTTTTCAGAGTGAATCAGAGACTGCATGACTCTAGCCTTTAATACTCTGCTAATTGTGTGATCATTTTCACAGGTTCCTTACAGGTATTTTCAGCCATTTGGTTTTGGGCCCCGAGGCTGTGCAGGAAAGTACATTGCCATGGTGATGATGAAAGCTATCCTGGTCACACTTTTGAGACGCTTCCACGTGCAGACATTGCAAGGAATGTGCGTAGAAAACATGAAGAAAAAAAGTGACTTGTCCATCCACCCAGATGAGTCTGGCAACTTTCTGGCAATAATTTTTACCCCAAGAAATTCAGACATGTGCCTTGAACACTAAAGAAGGCCAGTCAGTACCTACTCTGGATCATTCTCATCAGTAATTCACATGGAAACCATCCATCCTTGACAGGTAGTCTTCCCTCGCAGAGAACATTTGGTGGCCCATGGTATTTTATAGGCATCTTTCCTATGAGTTGTCAGCAAACTGGGAGCTATTGGTCATCTGTTCTCATCCAAACAAGAGAACCACGCTGCAAGAGAAAAAGATAGAGTCCTAAAGTGTGTGGGGGAGATGTCCAGTGAAGAAACTGCAGCCATAAAGGCCCAATTCCACAAAACGTGTTTTGGAAAGGACAGGCCATCAGCAAAACCTATATCAGGTTTGCCACTGGATCTCCACTGCCCTACCCCAAGCGCATTTTAAAGCCTCAGGCAGATGCACTCAAGTTGATTAGAAGGGCTAGGCCCATGTCTGGGTAGCTGGGGTCAAACATATCTGTTAGTATAGATAAAGGTGCTTTAATTTGGTTTTTGGTGGGGGTGGGACAGCAGCATTTATAGTCTTTGGAGAAATGCTTACAAATTCAGCATTTGCTTTTTTCGATGAATTATGTCCAGTTAACTCTTGTTTATCCACATGTGATCTTTTGTGGGAAAAATTAAGTTGGAGGATATCCTTTCCCAGTCTCTCAATTCATGCCTCAGCCACTTACCTCTGCTGCAATAGGTATAGATTCAGGTAATACAAGCTAACTTAGTAACAGCCTGAGGGANCCTCTGCTGCAATAGGTATAGATTCAGGTAATACAAGCTAACTTAGTAACAGCCTGAGGGAAATATAATTAGGACCCTATATCTGCTTTAGGACAAAAAAAAATCATATGGTGCATTTCATATTCAACTAAACATTTTTCTTTGCATGTTTGCATTGTTGCTTACCTCCATTAGTGTTGCTAATCAAGAGATAACTTTATATCGTGGCATCTATTAACTCTTACCACAGCTTCAGTGATTTGGAGAAGAGAGAATCCTCTCAATCTATATCTAATCCTATAGTCCAGCAGGTTCAAACATCTATGGAATGCTCCTTTCATCCTATTATCCTTCTACCCTCCACACTTTATCCCTCTCTTTCTTTCCATGACCTCAAAAGCCAAGGACAACAGATCAGTAAAGAACATGGTCAAGGTAGAATGCCTACAATCATCTTTTATTCTACCTCAGATTTAATAGTTACTTTAGAGATCTGACAGTTATCTAGTTCATTGAATCATTGTATGTACCCATGGATAAAATGTGTACCTTGGAATTGGCTCTCTAAAGGGAATCAAATAAACCACTTTCCAAACCACTTACCTTGTGTTATTTAGCCAATTTGAATATATCTACTGAATGTCATTTAAAAGCTGAAAAATAGGGCCAGCCCGGTGGTGCACTGGAGAGTGCACCGCTTGGGAGTGCGGCGGCGCTCCCACTGAGGGTTCGGATCCCATATGGAGACCGGTTCC